GTGTGTATATATGTGTGTATAATGTGTATATGTGTGTATAATGTGTATATAGTGTGTATATATGTGTGTATAATGTGTATATGTGTGTACAATGTGTATATAGTGTGTATATATGTGTGTATAATGTGTATATGTGTGTACAATGTGTATATAGTGTGTATATATGTGTGTATAATGTGTATATGTGTGTATAATGTGTATATAGTGTGTATATATGTGTGTATAATGTGTATATGTGTGCACAATGTGTATGTAGTGTGTATATATATGTGTATAATGTGTATATAGTGTGTATATATGTGTGTATAATGTGTATATGTGTGTATAATGTGTATATAGTGTGTATATATGTGTGTATAATGTGTATATGTGTGTACAATGTGTATATAGTGTGTATATATGTGTGTATAATGTGTATATGTGTGCACAATGTGTATTTGTGTATATATGTGTATAATGTGTATATAGTGTGTATATATGTGTGTATAATGTGTATATGTGTGTACAATGTGTATATAGTGTGTATATATGTGTGTATAATGTGTATATGTGTGTACAATGTGTATATAGTGTGTATATATGTGTGTATAATGTGTATATGTGTGTACAATGTGTATATAGTGTGTATATATGTGTGTATAATGTGTATATGTGTGTACAATGTGTATATAGTGTGTATATATGTGTGTATAATGTGTATATGTGTGTATAATGTGTATATAGTGTGTATATATGTGTGTATAATGTGTATATGTGTGTACAATGTGTATATAGTGTGTATATATGTGTGTATAATGTGTATATGTGTGTACAATGTGTATATAGTGTGTATATATGTGTGTATAATGTGTATATGTGTGTACAATGTGTATATAGTGTGTATATATGTGTGTATAATGTGTATATGTGTGTACAATGTGTATATAGTGTGTATATATGTGTGTATAATGTGTATATGTGTGTACAATGTGTATATAGTGTGTATATATGTGTGTATAATGTGTATATGTGTGTACAATGTGTATATAGTGTGTATATATGTGTGTATAATGTGTATATAGTGTGTATATATGTGTGTATAATGTGTATATGTGTGCACAATGTGTATGTAGTGTGTATATATATGTGTATAATGTGTATATAGTGTGTATATATGTGTGTATAATGTGTATATGTGTGTACAATGTGTATATAGTGTGTATATATGTGTGTATAATGTGTATATGTGTGTATAATGTGTATATAGTGTGTATATATGTGTGTATAATGTGTATATGTGTGTACAATGTGTATATAGTGTGTATATATGTGTGTATAATGTGTATATGTGTGTACAATGTGTATATAGTGTGTATATATGTGTGTATAATGTGTATATGTGTGTACAATGTGTATATAGTGTGTATATATGTGTGTATAATGTGTATATGTGTGTACAATGTGTATATAGTGTGTATATATGTGTGTATAATGTGTATATGTGTGTACAATGTGTATATAGTGTGTATATATGTCTGTATAATGTGTATATGTGTGTACAATGTGTATATAGTGTGTATATATGTCTGTATAATGTGTGTATGTGTGTAAAGATCCCCAGAGCCGGTCCGGGCGGTTTTGTCCCTGCCCGCTCAGGTGCTGCCTGTGGCCACCAGGTGGCGCCCCACTCCACCCTGTGCGTGCTGCCCGCGGGTTGGGGGGGCCATGGGGGGCTATGAGGGGGCTATTGGGGGGGGCAGAAAATAAACAAATTCTAAAAACTAACACCCCCCATCCCCTCCCCCCCGTCCCCGCTGTGCCGGCTGCGAGGCTGCGCTGCCACATGTGGATGCAGGAACACATCTGGCGGTGGTTGCACATCTGCATCAAGTGGCCAGGGTGGCAGATGCGGCTGCGGGGGCACTTCTGCCGGCACCGGGATGCCTGGCTCTGGTGAACAGGATGGCTGTGATGGCCAGGGTGGCGATAGCGGCCCACCTGGCTGCAGTGGCACATCTGGCTGCAGTGGCACATCTGGGTGCAGTGGCACATCTGGGTGCAGTAGATCATCTGGCTGCAGTGGCACTGGTAGCCATGGGGTGGCTGCGGTGGCAGCTGCAGCGGCCACTGTGGCTGCATGTGCCCATGGCAGGCGCGGCGCTGGCTGCAGTCACAGGCAGCCAGTGGGGCCGGAAGGCAGCACAATGAGCGGGGACTTATCTCACCCCACAGCCCTTCCTGGGGCCCGTGTCCCCCCCCGGGAGGGGGCAGGCAGAGGCCAGCAGTGCCCTGCGTGTCCCCAGCAGCGCTGGGGCAGGAGCGGAGCCGGGGGCACCGAGGGTTCAGGCACTTTATTTACAAACAGTAAAAAGCAAAATAAATACCAAAAAAAGTCTTAAAAGTCCAACCCGGGGCAGGGAGGAAGGGGCGGGGGGGGGGACTGGGGCTGTGCTGCTGCATGGTCCCCAATTGTGGCCCCAGCAGGACAGGGACACGAGAGCTGAGCCCTCTCACGTCCCCAGAGGGGGTGGCAGGGGCCATAGCACCATAGGGACAGGCAGAGGGGACGGTGAGCACCCCATGCTGACCCCCGGCCCTGGGGGTCCCCCGGAGTTATTTTTCTCTCTCAGCCCCTGGATGAGGGGCGCTGGGGTGGGGGGGGCAGATACATGGGTGCAGGAGCCCTGCGGTCCCAATGCAGCGCTCCTCAGCCATGGGAGGAGGAAGAGGAGGATGAAGCCACCTTTGAAGGGCCCCCAACCGCCACCAAAGCCCAGCGGAGCCCAGGGCGGGGGGGATTAGTGGGTAAATCCCACGGGATGCAGGAGCAGCCCCTGCGGCACCCCCAGCCGCATGCCCCGTGCATGCCCCACTGCACCCAGCCGCTGCGTCAGCACAGCGAGGACCCAGGGGCCGATCCCAGCCCCCTGCCCCGCGGTACTGGGGGGGGTCCCCAGGAGGCGATGGAGGGGCTGCGGTGCTGGGCCATGGTGGGGCTGGGGCTCACTTGTGGGGCATGTCCTCCACGCTGACCCGGCCCCACACCCCCACCACGAAGGTCTCCACCTCGCACTCGTTGACGCCGCGGGCGATGCGGAAGTGGCCGCCCTCTCCCCACGCTGTGCCCCAGGAGTTGGCTGCGGTCTGCGGGGGGGACACGGCTCAGCCAGACCCCAAGGAGCAGGAGCCCAGCTCCTGCAGCCCCCCCCCGCCCCAATGGCTGAGCCCCAGCACACTCGTGGCACCCACAAGCACTCACCCAGTATTTCTGGGTCTGGCCATCGGGAAGCTGCTCTTCTCCCCACCTGCAGGAGGAGAGGAGGGCGGTGAAAGGGGATCCTCCCCATGCGCCCCATACTGCGGCCATCACCCCACCCAGCACCATGATAGCGGGGTGCTGTGCTCACCCCACTCCCTTCCCGGCCTCGGCACCTCCCTGCGGGCCCGCACAAGGTATAGAACACAGGCAGGTGCATTCAGCCATGGGGAGCAGGAAGGAAGCTGCTGCAATCTGCCCCTCCAACCCCCCTCCCTCTGCAGGGGCTGAGCACTGCACACTGCTGGCGCTGGTGGCCCCCGTCGCACCCTGCACCCTCCTTCCCCTCCCGCTTCCTCTCCCTGCCCGGAGCAAGGGGACACCCCCGGCCCCCCCCACCTACCCGGTGATTTTAACGGAGTGGGTCCCGTGCCGCTGGTGCTTCGGGCCCTTCCCCTCGGCCACCGGCGTGTGCCGATAGATCCCGCTCTTGTACGTGAAGAAATCCTCGTGCACCTCCAGGATGGCTGCGGGGAGGGGAGGGTTGGGGACCGGTCCTGCGGGAGGGCTCCAAGCGCCTCAGGAGAGAGGATGCAGGCAGCAGGGACACGGGGGGTACCCGGCAGGAGGGAGGGCAGGGGCCGGACCCCCGGAATGGGGCCGGGCTCGGAGGAGGATTGAAGCCATGAAATAAACCAAGCCCAGGTGCCAGGGCAGAGAATAAACCCCTGGGGTTAAGAAGCACCAAGCGCTGCTGCGGCAGCGAGACAGGAGCAGGAGCAGGGGTAGCACTGAGCAGGGGAGGAGCTGAGGGGGGGTCCCGGCCCCGAGCTGGGTGGCTCACCACCCCCGTCACCCCCCAGCCACTGCGGCACCAGCCCTGGGGCACACGGCCCCTTACCTTGCACAGGACCGTTCTCCAGCAGCTCCTTCATGATCTCCTTCTCCTGCAAGCACAGAGCTGGGATGGTGCCAAGGCCAGGACCCCGGCACTGCCCTTCCCACCCCATGGGGATCAGAGAATCATGGAATGGTTTGGGTTGAAGGGACCTTAAAGCTCCTCCAGCTCCAACCCCTGCCATGGGCAGGGACCCCTTCCACTGGAGCAGCTTGCTCCAAGCCCCTGTGTCCAACCTGGCCTTGAGCACTGCCAGGGATGGGGCAGCCACAGCTTCTCTGGGCACCCTGTGCCAGCGCCTCAGCACCCTCACAGGGAAGAGCTTCTGCCTAAGAGCTCAGCTCAGTCTCCCCTCGGGCAGGTTCAAGCCATTCCCCTTGGCCTGTCCCTACAGGCCCTTGTCCCAAGCCCCTCTCCAGGTTTCCTGCAGCCCCTTTAGGCACTGGAGCTGCTCTAAGGTCTCCCCTTCAGGAGCCTTCTCTTCTCCAGGCTGCCCCAGCCCAGCTCTCTCAGCCTGGCTCCAGAGCAGAGCTGCTCCAGCCCTCGCAGCATCCCCATGGCCTCCTCTGGCCTCGCTCCAGCAGCTCCAGGTCCCTCTTGTGCTGCTGCCCCAGAGCTGGATCAGGGCTGCAGGGGGGGTCTCCCCTTCACGCATCAGAGGGGCAGGATCACGCTCTGGGGGTGCAGCCCAGCACAGGAGCCCACGGGTGGGTGCTCTGGAGGTGCTGGTGGAGGAGCAGCTTCCCCAGGGGCTCCTCAGTGGGATTTTCCCAGCTTCATTTCCAGCCTTGGCTTTCCCAAGGAAACGACCCTGGGCCGAGCCCCTTCCCGCTCTGGGGCACTCACGCTGGAGGAGAGGCGGTAGGCAGGGGTGGACTGGTAGATCTCGTTGGCGTGGGTCTGCGGGTTGGGGCAGCGAGTGGTCGCCTGCCGCTTGCCCCGGCCCGTGGAGCGGCTGTGCATCATGCAGGGCTGCGCGGCAGGGCTGCTCTCCTGGCTGGTGAAGGGGTAGCACTCATCCGTCACCACCCTGGGCACAGGGACAAGCACAAGGAGGGGATGAACCACCCGGCTCCATCCGCATCCCCGAACGCTGCTCTCCATCCCACCTGGGCACCGTGCTCCCTGCTGGTACCAGGGGCAGGATGCGCACGGAGCAGCCCTGTGCTCTCCGCAGGTAACCAGAGCCTTGAAGCTCCTTATCCCATCCCATCGCCCTGCCCCATCCCATCCCCACTCACCCCCGCCTGCGCAGGTACCACCAGGCGCCATCCAGCCGCCCCCCGCTGCAGCCCCGCTGGTTGCGGGTGTCGCAGGACAGGAGGTTTTGGGGTGACAGGGCGGGGGTCATGTGTCCCATGGAGTGGATGGAGATGCGGTCCGAGGCGACGGCTGGGAGTGAGCAGGGGTCAGGGAGGTTCAGCTGCTCCCCCGGCTCCTGCCCTGCCCACAGCCCCACAGCAGGGCTCCGTCCCCACCGACCGCCCCATCCCACCCCATCTCACCCGCCGTGGAGAAGGCCCAGGAACCGGCGCAGTTGCCCTGGTCCAGGGGCTCATGGATCATCCCAGGCCACTTTGCAGCTGCATCGAAGTGGCGAGGCAGCACCTCGTTGGAGTCCATGTTCATCTATGGGAGCCAGAGTGGAGGAGTTCTCACCACACAGGGACCCTCCCCTCTGTTCCTCCTCCTCCCAGCATCCCAGGACTCGCTCCCAGGGTCCCCAGCCAGCATCAGCATCCCTGTGACCCACTGCAGGACCCCTTGGGATGTGGATACTCAGAGACCCAGCCAAATATGACTGGGATTTTGGTGTTCCAGGGGAGAACTTTCCCTAAACTTGGGTTCTCCAGCCCCAGCAGCTCCTTATGGGACACCATCACCAAGTGTCTGGTCATGCACCAACAAGTGCACGGCACTGGGTGTCCTGAGCCCCTCATTGTGGCCTCCGGCCGTTGACTCAGGCCCAGCCTTTCCGCCCATGGGGAGGACGCGGCCACGGCCCCGGCGTATCCCAGCACAGGAAGCGCCTCTAAAATTAAACCTCAAGGCCTTGGCTCGGGGCATGCGCGGTGCCTGCTCCCCACCAGCACCCACGGCCCCCGCACGCTGCCCGCCTCGAACGGGAGCTGGGGTCGGATGCAGCCAGAGGCACCCCACTCGCAGGGCGCTGGCGCAGCCGGTTCTGCTGACTCAGCACTATGGGGCTGGCTTTCCGATGGGAACCCAGTACGGAGGAGAAGGGGAAAAAACAACACTGGCAGCACAGGGATTGTCAGGGGGAATGTGCTGAGCTGCTGTCTCCAAACACAAGGGCCGCCTGCGGCACCCACCCGGCACAGCCCCTTCCCAGGGCAGGGGACACAGTGGGGACACACAGGGCAGGGGGATGCTGAATCTCTGCCCAAACCCTGCCGTGCCTCCGCTTCCTGGGCACCCACGGGGACTCACCTGCATCTCGTTCATGTTCATGACGGTGGGAGAGGGCCGGAAGGTGCCCAAGCGGTGCCGGATCCCATCCTCCAGGGTCATGCCCCAGAACTGGCTGTAGTTGGTGGCTCTCCAGCTGCAGGGAGGATGGGACATGGCTCAGGGGTGCCCCGAGAAGCACTGAGGGGGGGGCAGCCCCTCCTCACCCTCCTGTGCCTGGTCCTTACCCATAATTGCCCCTGTTGATGGCGTCAATCAGCTCCCCGTCCATCAGGCATGCGTGGTCCTCACACTGCCACTGCCCGCCGGGGCTGCAGGTGCTGCAGAGGGGATGGCACCAGAGGGTACAGTCAGACGGGGAGGGACGATGCCCTTGGGGTGACGGGGGGGGGGGCTGAATGGGTGTTGGAGCTCCCAAACCAGGCACTTTCAGCTCTCGCTGGCAGCCAGCGGCGGTTTGGGGGTCACGCCGAGGCTCAGCACCACGGGATGGGGTGAAGCTGGGCCAGGGACAGCCCTTGGCGAGGCCCTGGGGACCGCCCCAGAGGGCAGCGGGAGCATGGGACAGAGCGCGCTGTAAAGCAGCCAGGGCTGCAGCCACTTGGACACCAGCGGGGGGGGGGGGGCGGGGGTTCGGGGCTGGAGATACCCCCCGGGGGAGCTGCTTGTGCCCCATGGGGAGCCCCGCGGCGGGGGGGGGGGTGCCCATGCCGGGTGCGGGGGCCGGGGCCGCGCTCCCCCCGCACGGAAGCAATGCCTGGCACGCTCCCGCGGCCCCGCCATGCTCTTCCCTTTTAAGGAGCCCTCCGAGGCCGTGTCCCGGCAGCCGAGCCCTGATCCCACCCACGGCACCTGCATCCCATTCACCCCATCCCGTCCCATCCCATCCCATTCCATTCACCCCATCCCATCCCATCCCGTCCCATCCCCGGCTCCACTCTGGTGACCCTGTGCCTGCTGGTTCCCTCCATGGGAGCACCTCGGGGTGCAGCCAGCTGGGTGCCCACAGCACCTCCCGCGGCTTCACACTGCCCCCTTGTCAGCCCCTAGATCCCACAGGAGCCAGGCAGGGATAAGGTCTGGGCTGAAGCACTCCTGGAATTGCTGCTCTCCACGTGCCAAGTGCGGGGGAAGGATCTGGGAGCAGAGCCTCAGCCCCCCAGGGCAGCGCTGGTGAGGATGGGATGCAGGGATGCTTCCCCAGTGCACAGCCGGGGGACCTCCACCTTCACCGCGGCTTTGGGACGTCCTCCAGCCCCACAGCTCTCTGCCCCATGGTCCTGGAGAAACCCCAGGCAGCACCAGAGCTCCATGGAGGGGTCGGGCTGGCTTTTCACCTGCAGCTGCGGCGCGCACGCCTGCCCACACATGCACACACACGTGCTCGTGCCCTCACACATGCCCCACACGGAGCCTTTCATTCCCCTTATCTGCTGCATCGCTGCGAGGCAGCCGCTGGGGCTGCTCCCCGCCGCTTCCCCTCTCCCCCACCTCCAGGATGCCATTAATACCATTCCCGGATAAACCCCACGCTCTGGATAACGCAGACAGCGAGCTCCTGGCACGCAGCACGGGTGCGATGGCTGCACCGGCGCCGGGCTCTGGCCGCGCAGGCACGTCCCGTCAGGCTTGGGCAAGCCGGGCTCGGACCTGCGCGGCCAGAAAAGCCCCGGCAGCCCGCAGCCGGCCCGGCCACGCTCCACCAGGCCGAGCACTGGAACATGGGAGCGGCGCAAGGCCCCGGGCTCTCTGCTTGGAATATGCTGGAGCAAAGCACTTGGCACCGGCGCCCGCCACCCAGCTCAGGGCCCCCCGACGCCCTTCCTGAGGGCAGGCAGCGGTGCCGCGGCACCGGCAGCACCGGGGCACTCACCACAGGTTGCAGTTCTCCCGGTACGTGGCTCCGGTGGGATAACTGCGGCCAGCGCGGGCACAGCCTGGATGGGAAAAGGGGGAGCCCCGGTGAGCACTTGGCACCAGCACCCCCACGGCTCCAGGAGATAAATACCGAGGGGAAAACAAATGAGGTCTTTAGAGCCAGGCAGGTTCCTGGGTGCATCTCGGCACCTCCAGAGGTGTGATGGGGACCAGCTCGTGCCCCACGGCGCAGGGGTGGCTTGGCAATGGGAGGGTTAACGATGGGGCTGCTGAGCACAGCCTGGCGGGACAGGGATAAAGGGGCCAGTTGTGCCCGGGAGCTGGCTCTGCTCTGCAGGGACTTCTTAGAAAGCCTTGTCCTGCACGGGGGGGCTGCCCGTGCCCCCCTCCCGCCCCCATCCAGCTGCTGGAGGGGTTAAGCCAGGGCCAGCATCCGCCTGCCCCAGACATGACCGGGGATGTGTCCCCCCGTCCCCCTCTGACCCCCACAGCCCTGCCGCTGGGGAGGCAGGGGGGATGTGCTGTGGGGCCACGGGCTGCTCCCAGACCCATCTCTGGGAGCCCACCCCGTAGGTCCAGAGCAACCCTGCAGCGGGGACAGGGACACGGGTTTCCATATCCAGCCACATGCATGACCCCCACAGCATCACACAGCACAAGAGACACCCCAGGGCTGTGGCCCTGTCACACACAGCCCCCTGCCCGGCTGGACCAGGGGCTGCCTCACCTGGAGCTTTGGGGAAGGGGGGCGGGATGCCCAGGCAGTACTCCCAGAAGTCGGGGCAGCAGTCGGACACTGTTCTGTTGCAGAAGAGGTCGCAGTAGCAGAGGGTGTCGTGGTAGGGCACGGTGCAGGCGTCGTCGCGGCCGTGGCAGCACACGTCCCCCCGCTGGCAGTAGGACCCCCCGGCATCATAGACCCCGTGCTCGTAGAGACCGGGGGCCAGCTCCCGGCGGGTGCGCACCCGGGAAGCCCGGGACGCCTGGGCCAGCAGCCAGAGGCAGAGCAGGGCCCGCATGGTGCCAAGAGTGTCCCCAAGCTGCAGCCCTGCGGAGGGAGGGCAGTGAGCACGCAGGGCAGCTCCGCACCGACACCAGCCCCATCCTGCTGAGTCACCCACCCCAGAGCGCTGCCCACCTCTTCGCAGCCCTGCTCTCCCCCGGGACGCTCCACGGTTCGCGTTTATTAACTCCCCGTGAGACCGAAGTGGCTCTGGGCATCCAAAACACCGCTCCCCGCCGGTGCCCTCTCGGGGGGCCCTGAGCCCTCCCACACCCCTTAACCCCCTCCGCTCCAAAAGCAAAATCCAGCGGGAAGGGGCTCCCCTGGGCACCCGGGGGGGGAGGAGGGCACCGGTCCCAGCCCTAACCCCAGTCCCCGAGGGCGTTGGGACCACCCAGCCCCGTCCCGTTCCGTCCCGTCCCGTCCCGTTCCGTACCTGCCGCTCCCGCGCCGCCGCCGCCGAGCGCGTGCCCCGGCCCCGCCGCTCCTTATAACCGCGCCCCGGCCGGGGGGAGCGGGGAGGCGCCGGGGCAGCCGCCATCGGCCGGGCCGCGCTGCCCCTCCCCGGGCGGGGCGAGGCGAGGGTCGGGCCCGGGGCTCCGGTCGGGGCGAGCGGGAGCGAGAAGCGCGGCCCCGAACCCCCCCCCACCCCCGGCCGTGGTACCCAGCGGCACCTCCTGCCCTGCGGACCGGGGCTCCCCGGGTCCTGCTCCCAGCCCCGCGCCCTCACACACTGGGGGGGTCCCGCAGCTCAGCCCTGGCACCCAGCGGGGTCCCTCCGCTGCCCGGGACATGCAGGGGAGCGAGGGTAGGGGGGGTTCATGTCTCCCCCCTCCCAGCAGCCCAGCTGCAGGCGGGCAGGTGGATGCGACACAGGGAGGGATGCAGACGCAGGGACACCCCACTGCCGCCCAGGGCACGGAGTCGGTGTCTCTTGGATTCAGCCCCGTGTCCAGGTGCTGAGGACCTGGGAATGGGGGTCATGGCCACCCCACAGGTTCTGGTGTCCCCTGCAGCACCAGCGCTCACTGCAGGGCTTCAGCTGCCCGCCCCGTGGCTCTTGCCTTGTCTCTGCTCCACAAGGAGCATCTCCCAGCTCTGCCGAGGGGATCCTCCTGGTTCCCATCTGCAGCCTGCGGGGAGGATGCTAGGACTCATCAGGGTGTGCTTGCACCCCAAGACCCCATGTACAGGGAGCACCGCATCTCACTGGGCATGAGAGCTGCCAGGGTCCCCAGGGCGCTCTGAGTGCCCAGACAAGGGTCCTGCAAGAGCCCCATGCAGAGACCCCTGCCCAGCTCCTCAGCTGTTGTTCTCAAAAGGGCTTTTCCTGGAAGTGTGGCCTTGGGCTGGAGCTTGAGCTCGAGGGCTGTGGAGCGCCTCAGGAAGGAACTGGGTCCAGCCCGGAGTCCGGCTGTCTCCATGACTGGACTGCCAGGAATTCAGTGAGTCACAAATTCCCCAAGACCCTCAGGGGACAAAGCAGAGCCACTGGCTAAAAGGACATCCCCAGCGTCTGCTCCGGGTCCTTGTGCTGCTGCCAGGCAGCTCCCTGGCGGTGGCTGAGGATGCCGTGGGGTGCTGCCAGCAGAGATGGCCCCTTCCCGTTGCAGTCCCCATTCCCCCACAGCAGATAAGGGCTCGTGAGCGGCGGCGAGAGCAGCAGCAGTCCAAGTGCTTGTGACCCCCCTCGCTTCCTGCGCCGTGCTCCGCATGCCAAGTGTGGCTCCTGGTGGGACACAGCGATGCAGCACTGCGGGGTCACGGTTTGCTGCCTTCCCTGATGCCAACATCTCCCCCGCTGCGCGGCCCTGCTCCGGGAAGTGCCAGCCTCTGGCACACGTGGGGCAGCCAAGGTGGACGAGGGCAAAGTCCAGCTGGGGCACCTTGGGCCCACGTGGCTGCGGGAAGCAGAGCAAGGAGCTGTGGGTTGGCACCGTGCCCGTCCTGCCCTCACCGCTGCTGCCTGCGCCCCGCAGGAGAGCCGGTCCCACCACTGCATGGAGATGTGGAAAGAGCCCAGAGCCAGCTGGGTTGGTCCTGGATGCCCCACGGAGCAGCAGGGACGCGCGGAGCCGCACCATTGCACAGCGCAGGGTGAGCACCCCACGATGCACAACCCCGTGCACGATCCCTCCAAACCCACCCTGGAAAGCCACCGATCCGGCCGGGGAGCCGGGCAGTTTGCTCACACGGGGCTTTCCTGCTGCATCCTGGCTCGCCCTTCAAAGCCTCTGCTTCAAAGCAGCGTGAGCAGGGGGTGCGCAGCGTCAAGGATCCCCAGGGATCACCCAGAGGGGCCAGGGGACCAGAGTGACCCCAAAGCCCCCATCCCAGCAGGCTGGGGCAGCGCTGGGGGCAGTGGGGCCAGGGCAGGGAGGCGCTGGCCCCTGCAGTGCTCCGAGCCAGCGCTGAGGCTGTTGGCAAGAAGCATCCAGGAAAGGCAGGACCGACCTGCGGCCGGCCCCGGCTTCCTCCCCGGCCAGCGCTGGGGCAGGGCGGTGCGGGAAGGGGCCACCCCGAACCCCGACACTTGCAGGCTGGGGTTCACATTGTCCCCACGACCGCCAGCGCACAGGGATGGGGTGAAGGCTTTGTGGTCCCTTGAGGGGTTGTGGTGTCCTGGATAAGGGGGCTGCACCCCCCACCCCCGGCGTGGTCCTGTGGAGGCACCATCCCCGCCTGGGGACAGACTGCGACACTTCTGAAGAGGCAGATGGGACACAGCGACCCTCCCAGGGGGTCCAACCGCAGGGCACCGGCCCCTCTGCGGCGGCATCGCGCCTGCAGCCAGGGCACGCAGCGCCGTGGATGTGGGGATCGAGCCGGAGTCGGGGCCCCGTTCCCATGTCGGGGGACTCAAGGCGAGCCCGGGGCGGGGGGGGTCATGGTGGTGGCCGGACGGAGGGTCCGTGGCCGCGGTGCTCGGTGGCGGGGCTGGAGTGCCACCTCCCGGGGGAGCCGGGACAGAGACGCGGGCGGCGACGGCCTCTGCTCCAGGCTTTAATGAAACCAATCCGTTAATGGTTAATCAAGTGAGGTCACGGCCCGCGGGGAGGGCTGCGGGCACCCGCCACGCTCAACCCACCCGGTCAGCTGCTGCGTGCGCATGCACCCATAGCACCCATAGCACCCACAGCACCCACACACCAACCCACCCATGACACCCAACCAGCCCCTTGTGCCCCCCACAGCACCGCTGCCCCACCGCCCGGGGTGAGAGGAGGAGGCCAGGGTGGCATGGGAGCACTGGGGAGGCTGCAGGTGGCTCTGGCCGCATGCACTGACAAGGCAGAGAAACGAGCAGGGTTCGGGGTTCCCAGTGCAGGAGCAGAGGCACAGGGGGGCTAGGGAAGGGGGTGCAAATCCCATGGTGCAAAGCCCAGAGGGGGGCTGCACTGGCAGCAAGGGGATGGCCAGCACCGAGCCCCCCGGGACCCCCGGCTGCCCCAGCTCGGCAAACTTTGGCACTACCATGATCCTGCAGGGCTGGAAACCGGCCCCAGCTCTGGGGTCAGGGCATGACAGGAGTCATGGACAGCACCCCCTTACCTGACCTGTGCCTCCCAGTCCACAGAAGGGATGGGGACATGGAGAGCACTGCAGGACCAGGCAGGGAAGGAATCCTCTTAGCAAGAATAGAGTCTGGGATACAAGAGGGAGAGATGGCTCTTTGGGACCACTGTCCCCATTGCCTGTGCTGCATCCCTCCCTCCTCCCCAGCCTCTGCTCAGCCCTGAGCCCCCGTGGGCAGCAGAATCCAGCCCTGTGTGCTGGTGGAGGGATTTGCTTATTGCCTATGAGCCCCATGGATTGCTCTTCCCGGGGATGTTGCATATTAAGACATTATTGCATAAATATATATATATGTCATCTATATATATATTGCCCTGGGAGCATGCACGGGCAGCCAGAAGGCTCTGCTGTGCTTCTAGAGGTGCAGCCAGTGCTGCAAGCAGAGAAACAACCCAGGCAGAAGAGGGTGAAGGGGGCAGAGCCCCGTTACCCAGCCTGAGGGGGGCCTGACACAGCCCTGACACAGGTAAAACCACAGTGGGTCTTGCCCCAACATCCCTGCTCCGTCCCAGCAGCCGGAGGGAGATGGAGCCTTGCATAGCTGGAGCTGACCCTGGCTCAGCTCTGGGGGACCAGACTGGACCCTGATGAGGAGCTGGATGGGGCTCGGCCTGGAGCATCTCCTCCATGGCTGGGGAGAACTCAAGGTCCCGGGAGCTTGGGGGTCTCCCCCCTGCGGAAGGGCAGGAGCATCCCAGCAGCGTGGCCTGGCCATGGCGCGGTGCCGCTGGCTCCCAGCCTGTCCCGGTGCGGGTGCCCCACTGCAGCCGTGCTCCCACAGAGGAAGACTTGGTTCAAGTAACGCGGTGCGGGCCATCCCAGCACCCATCCCGGCGGCTGCACGGGGCAGGATCCATCCGCTGCCACCCTGCTCAGTCCATGTTGGTGCTGGCCGACCTGGAGATGGTGAGGGTCTGCGCAGAGACCGAGATGTCCTCGTGGTCCACGGGGCTGTGGTAGTCGGAGGTGATGTCTGGCTCGCAGGGGGGCACCTGCACAGCGGCCAGGCTGAAGGAGTTGATGGAGCCCTTGCGGAGGCACTGGGAGTAGAGCCCAAGCAGCAGGTCCAGCTTGTGCTCGATGGACTGTACCTGCAAGGGTGGGCAGAGCTGGGGGGGTCCATCCCCATGGAGAAAGGACAAGGGGGTCCCAGCTGGAGATGGTTTTGAGCTCCCAGGGTGCTCCCCTCCTGACCTGTCTTTCCACCTTGACCACGCGCCCCATCATGCTCAGCTCGTCCACCAGCTCCGTCTCCAGCGCCGGCTTCTCCACCTTCTCCCGCACCTTCTTGTCCACAGTGAGGGTGCCCCTGCCCACAATCTGGTCCACGCTGGCAGGGAGGGAAGGGACACAGCCCATCACTCCCAGTGGGAACAGAGGGAGTGAGGCCACAAGGGGCTCCAGGGACATGGTCACGGGTAGCGATGGGTGACCCAGGCAAGCCTCGAGGGCAGCTCACCGTGTCTGCAGGCTCTTGATCCTGCCCAGCATGTCCAGGTGACCGGCCGAGTACTGCTCGATGACGTCCTTGACGTCGTAGGGACGCAAGGTCTCCTTGAACTTCCTTTTGGCCACCAGGAACTTCAGGATCCTGCAGGAACACCAGGCTGGCACTGGGGAACCCCAGGGGCTCTGTGCTGAGAGGGGGGGGTGAGCACTTGCAAAACACCAAGGTCCTGACCACTGCCCCTTTGGGATTGAGCCAGGATCCATCCCTGCTCCCTGCCTGGCTTGGGCACCCCCATGGGCTGGACCGGGGGTCTCTGGACAGATCCACTCATCCAGATGGGAATGGCAGCACAAGCACCGGCGGGCACAGGAGGGGATGGCCTCACCTGACGGCCCGGATGAGGGTCTTCACGGCTGGCATGATGTCCTCACAGGTCAGGTCGCAGTGGGAGCTCTTCTCCTCGCCGCTGTCCTCCAGCGGGCAGTCAGCTGTGGATGGAGCAGAGATCGAGGGCTGCAGAGACCCCTGTGCCCCCTGAAACGCCAGCATCCGGAGCCCACCCGTCCCGTGGCTCACCCTCGACTGTGGTCCGCGGCTTGAGCCTCAGGGATGCTCGGAAGCGCGTCCGGTCGTTGAAGCTCCAGCTCTTCTGCACCTTGGTGGGGCTGGAAGCCTCGGGGAGGTCCTCGGTGCTGGGGGAGCGGTGCAGGGGGGGCCCGAGGTGCTGCCTGCCCCGGCTGCCTCGCTGCGAGCTGCCCAGCCGGATCCGCTCCTTGATGCCCATCCTGTTGCTGTGTGGGAAGAGCCGGGAGGCAGGTCAGTGAGGGGGGACAGGGATGGGGACAGGGCAGGGAGTGGATGGATCCCGGCTGTGGGAATACCCGGTGCCCACACGGTGGGGGTGAGGATGGGGGTGTCCGTGCCGAGCTCATGGAGAGTCCCTGGCACATGATGGGCACAAGGTGTGAGCTGGGCCAGGGGCGGGCGATGCTGCGTGCCCACGAAGGAGCGGCTCTGGGGTTACTCCTTGAAACACCCGAAAAGCAGAGAAAGGAGACACAGAGACAGGGAAGGAGGGGACAGAGCTGTACGGTGCTGGGGAGGACACAGCAGAGCCACGGCAGAACACCCGGCCCCTGTCCCGCAGGGAGCAGCGCTGCTCCTGCTCCATCCCTGCTGGCACGGAGGCACCCAGCCAGGCCTCTTTATCCTCCTCATCCTCCTCCTGGCTACACCTCCTGATTCAGGCTCTGCTCCAGCGGGCGGGCGGAGCAGCCCCTGCCTGCCCTGACACGAGTTCTGCTCCCAGGTCCAGCCGGGGGAAGAAACAGGCTTCGTTTATGGAGGACCTACACAAACCCACCACCTGGAGCTCCCTTATGTAGGGTGCAGGACCGCAGGCACACCCTGAGCCACGCAAGGAGGCCAAGCAGATGCACAGCCCCTGAGCAGGGGAAGCCAGAGCCTTTGGGAAGCCTCCCGCATCTCCCGGGGCAGGAATCCCAGGGCAAGTCAGAGGGAAAGGAAGGGTACTCCCAGTGCGGGTCGCTGGTGAGCTGGTCCCAGGCAGGGCTGTCACAAGCCCCTGCAGTGGGTGTCATGCGATCCATGCCGGAGCATGGGAAGGATGTGTCCTGGGGAACTGAAATGAGATTCAGTTTGTCCAAGTGCCCCGCTGATGGCCATGGTAAGCCCAGCATGGCCAATGGACCGCGCTCATCCATGCTGCATGGGAGGGGAAACTGAGGCAGGGGTCGATGTGGGGACACTGGGGACAGGCAGCTCAGCACAGGCCATGCACAGACCCCTCTGCCATGCAGAAGAATCAGCCTGCAGCCTCTGACCCCGCTGCCTCAAGCCCTGGCCCCTGCTCCCTGCAGCCAGCACGGGCACCATGCAGGATGCTGTACCTCCGTCTCCACGTGCCCCACGTCCGCAAGAGCCTCCTCTTGCCACTAAGGATGGGGCTGGAGGGGCAGGGCAAAGACATAGGAGAAAACAAGAGTTAGCCCTCGGTCAGGAGCATCCCAGGCCCCAGTGCTCCAGGCATGACCCAGTGCATGGGTGCAGGGGCCCAGCCTGCCATGGTGAGCATCACATCACCCGCTGCACCAGCACGGTACCCGCCTGTGCTGTGGAGGCAAGAAGCACGAGTAATGCTGTTTGTGTAGGTCCTACATAAACACTGAACGCCTGCCCCGCAGGGGAAGGTCCGGTTTCCCAGCAGTGGGGCTCTCCCAAAGAGAGATGCTGGCACATTACCTGAGGCGTAAGCACTTGTGAGGCTGCACATCCTCCTCCTTCCAGCTTGGGGGTGAATGGGGGGCACAGGGGGTTTGGGGTGGGTTGGAGGGGTGGAGGGGAGAAGGGTGAGCAAGGCAGGGGAGGAGAGAGACAGAAGATGAGATGTTATGAGAGGTGATGCTCACAGAGGAGATGGGGGCTTGGGCCCCTCCCGGCTGGGACGGTTGGGGGGTTCAGTCCCTCCCCTGCCAGCTTCTGAGCCCAACAAACGCATACTCACCTTGGGTCTGGCAGGCGCTCCAGGTCCCCCGGCCCCACACCTCACTGCACCTCCCATAGCCCCTGCTCCTTCGTCACAGGGGAAACCGAGGCACGAAGCTGCCTCTCCCCACCTAACCCTGACGCTGGCCTGGGTTCTCCTGGGCACTGGGGCAGCTTGGAGCGGCTGCTGCAGGCGTGGGAGCCCCCCTCGGACGGGAGGAGCTGGGTTTGCCCTCGCCTGGCTCTGCAGCAGCCCCAGCCCCACGGGCTCACAGCGCTGCCCTCGCAGGACCCTTTCCAGCCCCTCTGGGCCGCCCTGCGCAGGGTCCTGGTGCCGCGAGGGGGAGATGAGCGGAGCAAGAGGCTTCCCCATGGCCCAGGGGGAGTCCATGGGGACCGAGCGCGGCCCCGCCGGAGGCAGTGGCTGGAGCGGGGCTCTGGGTTGATGCTGACGGGCACCGCGGTGGCACCGCAGGAGGACAGAGAGGAGCAGAGAGAGGGCAGAGAGGGGAGAACACGGGGCTGGGGCTGCACCCTCCTACCTGTCCCCTGAACAAGCAGCGGGGCTGGCGCTTTTCTGGCCAGGGGTGAAGGGGTGATAAGGCGGTGGGGCTCCGTCCGGCAACTTTTTCACCTCTGAATTCCTAAATCCTCCGTTGCGGACTCGGTGCAAATGCTCAAAGATAAGGACCAGTTCTCTGAGGTTGGGGTTAAATAAAAACATGGAGAAATTAAACCTTCCAAAGCAAAGGAGCTGAGCAAACCCAGGCTGCGCAACGCCAGGCTGCCTGCGAGCCAAAGCAAAACCAGGGCAAGAGAAGCAGCAAAACCCAGCACTTTTCTTTCGAAAGACGGCTTCTTAACAGCTCCGAGCGCTGCTGCTGGCTCCTGGGGTGACAGAGCAGGGGCAGGGGTGCTGGGAGCCCCACAGAGGGGTTGGATGGGTGCGGGGAGGGATGGGTCAGGCAGGGAACAGGCAGGACAAGCACCGTGCCATGGCGCAGGGACAGGGGTGCTCGCCTCCACCTGAGCCGGGGGTCTGGGCGCTGCTGGAGCAGCCAGGAGGGGCGAGCTTAGAGCTGGCCCTATCCCAACCCCTGGCACAGAGGGAGGGGCCGGTGGAGCCCCCGTGGTGCCCGCACTGGGATTGCCCCGCAGTGGTGCTGGGGAAGCCGGATCTCCTGGGGTGGGACCAGAGGGATGCGCCCGCGGCTCGTGAGGGCCTGTCCTTGAGCAGATGGAGCGAAACAGAGCGCGTCTGTGACTGCGAAGGAACTCGTGGACACAGCAGGGGCAGGACATGAAGGCAGGGGCAGGACGTGAAGGCAGGGGCAGGACGTGAAGGCAGGGGCAGGACGTGAAGGCAGGGGCAGGACGTGAAGGCAGGGGCAGGACGTGAAGGCAGGGGCAGGACGTGCAGGCAGAAGCAGACCCTGGTGGGCTCAATGTGATGGGAACACACAGAGTATCTTCAATCCAACCATGGTGGCAACATCCAGGGGCCCCAAGAGGGGAGAGTGTGACATGGACAGGGCATGGGGCTCCCTGCCAGACCCCCACGTCCCTCTACTCTGCTGCCAGGCTCAGAGCCAGCGCCTGGCTGGCTGCAGCTCCATCACCCCAGCCACGAGGTCCTGTGGCACCATCCTCTTCCTCATGGTGGTGCTGGAGGAAGGCTATGGATGGGTGAGAGGGGACATGGGTGGGATGGATGCTGGGGGATGGTGAGGATGAAGGAAGGAATCCCAGCTTGGTTTGTATTGAAGGAACCTTAAAGCTCCTCCAGCTCCATCCCCTACCACGGGCAGGGACACCTTCCACTGGAGCAGCTTGCTCCAACCTGGCCTTGAGCACTGCCAGGGATGGGGCAGCCACAGCTTCTCTGGGCACCCCGTGCCAGCGCCTCAGCACCCTCGCAGGGAAGAGCTTCCTCCTTATCTCCAGCCTGAACTTCCCCTGTTTCAGTTCGAACCCATCACCCCTTGTCCTGCCCCTACGGTCCCTGGTGAGAGCCCCCGGCTCCAGCAGATGCTGTGCTCCAGTGTCCCGGGGCTGAGCAAGGATCCAACCGCGCTGCTCAGCCCCACAGAGCCCTCAGCGGCTCCACGTGGCAGGGGCTGCCCAGGCTGTGGGGCACCCCATGGCCCCACAGGGACCCCCTGGGACCCCCGCAGCCCTCGGCCGGGCGCTGCCTACCTGAAGGCGGGCAGGAGGCTGTCGTAGTAACACCAGGTGGCCGTCAGGTACGTGCGGCTGACGTCCGTCGCGTACAGGCGCCAGGCAGCCTGCAGGGAGCGAGGAGAGCTCCTGAGCCCCTGCCAGCCCCACGCATCCCTTGGCCACCACAGGCAGAGCCCAGCACCCAGGACCCACCTCTGGGGTTTAGTGTTTGGGTTCGGCCTGCAGCAGGCAGGGGCAGGCAGAGCAGATGGGGCGGGGGGAGAGCGGAGCATCCCCAGGAAGGGATGCAATGGGATGGGATGGGATGGGATGGGATGGGACATTCAATCCTGTGCTACCTGGATCAGGTTTGCAGCTGGAGTCCTCCTCTTCTCAAAGTGCTTCTGCCGATGCTGCTCCTGCACTTTCAGGGCGAAGCCAGAGCCCAGGATCCCCTGGGGATGGGAAGGATGGGGTCTGTGGGTGCCAGCAGAGATGGGGACGCTCTCACCACAGGGGTGGATTTGGTCCCTTTGTCCGCATTTCCGTGGGGCTGGAGGCACAGGGACCTCTCCCTGCCCTACTCACGGCGGGCAGCGCAAAGAAGGAGATGCCGAGCAGGGCGAATCCAGCCGCCAGCATCCGCCCCAGCCACGTCTGCGGTGTCTTGTCCCCGTAGCCGATGGTGGTGAGGGTGACCTGCCCGGGGGCAGAGCAGGAAGAGGCCTGGAGGGAGCTCCCCCACCGCAGCCCCATCCCACCCTCCTCATCCCCTCCCGGCACTGGGAGGCCGCGGCGGCCGAGCTTACCGTGCCCCACCACAGTGAGTCGGCGTAGGTGGCAAACTCGGCATTGGCATCCTTCTCGGCCAGGTAGACGAGGAAGGAGGAGAAGATGAGCACCAGGAATCCGATGTACCAGGCGGTGATGAGCTCCTGCTGGGGCACGGGGGGTGAGAGGGGCTCGGGGGCTGTGTGTGTGGGGGGCCGCACCGGGACCCCATGTCCTCACCTTGCTGTGTGCATAGACAACAGAGCCCAGCAGCTTCCAGGTGCCGCCGCGCCGGTCCATGCGCACCATGCGCAGGATCTGCAGGAAGCGCATGCTGCGCAGCGCCGACGTGGCGAAGATGTTGCCCTGCGTGCCCGCAGCGATGACGGCCACCGAGGCCACGCAGACGATGAAGTCTGCGGACAAGCAGAGGTTTCCCCACCATCCGCAGCAGGGGCCGACGCTGCCGCTCCCCGCATTCCCGCGCTCCCACCCCGAGCATCCCGGTACCTATCACGCAGAAGGGCTTCCTGGCAAAGCGGAACCGTCCCCGCCAGCCGCGGTAGCGGCAGCAGCAGCCGGCGGCCCACACGCGGATGATGTACTCCATGCCGAACACCACGATCATGACAAACTCCTGCCGGGGGGGGGGAGAGGGACACGGGGTGAGGTGGGGGCACTCGGCTTTGGGGGGGCAAAGTGAAATGCAGGTGTAAAAGAGGGAGAATGGTGTCGCTCTGACACAGCCCCGCCTGAAGCCATCCCCAGGGAATCAGGGCAGCGAGACGGGAGCCGCAGGCGCCGAGCCTGCGTGAGCAGCCCCGGCTCCTGCCTGTGCCAAGCTCGTACCGAGCTGGGTCCTTTTCCTCCACCGTCAGCATTGTCCTCCTGCCTCTCTCACACACTGCTTACTCGTGGAAAGTCACAAGGACCTTCCCAATTTAGTCTCCATCACTCGGGAGAACTCCGGCGTCAGCTCTTTGTGACAGTTTGGGGGAAAGTTGCCTTTTTTAGCCCCTCCTGCCCTGCCTTTTCCAGCGGTTTGTACCTGTCTGCACCAGTGGCGGTGATGGGGCTTCCTGAGCTGGAAACAGCTCCTCCTGTCACTAACACCAATGACCAACAGCGATATCTGGGCTGGGAAGGGGTTGGAGGGGTTTTGTCCGTGATCTTGTCTTTTAGAGCACAATGTGGGGGGGAGGACCCCGAGCACAGCGCTGGTCCCCACTTACCAGGATGAAGAGGCACTCGTTGGCCAGTTTCTGGTGCTCCTGGATGGTGGAGAAGACCGACAGCACCAGGCAGCTGAAGACGAGGAGGAATCTGGAACGAGAGCGGGTCAATGGGGGCATCAGGGCAGGCTGCTCACAGCGGGGACCCCCTGTTCCCTGTGCAACCCCGGGCATGGGCTCGGTGCATGATGCCCCCCTGACATCGCTCCCACTACTCCCCCAGTGTGATGGGGACCAGCCTTGCGTGGCACCCGCACACCCCTGAGCAGCAGCAGGAGGAGGACCAGGCTCCAGCAGCCGCAGGGCTCAGCGCCAGGCTCTGCTGCAGCCTCTGCCCAGGGAAAACAACCACTAATTAAAGGCAGGGAGGAAAGAGGGGGGTCCTGCACCACAGCAGGGTGCTGCTGCTGCAGAACAGGGACCAGAGCTTCTCCTGACCGCCCCCAGCATCACTGCCACTGAGGGGATCCATTCCTGAGAGCTGGCTTAAGGCACAAGGGGCTTTGGCCCATTTAAAATAGAAGGGGGGGGAAGAAAAGAGACTCCGAAGCTGAAGCAAATGAAACTCCAAAAATACATTTTTTCCCCTGATCCAGCGATTCTAAAAATAGAAATAGGAGGGTTTGTGCCACCGGCCACGTGACGGCGTGCTACGGGCCACCGCTGCCAGAGCCGGCACCGGGATGGCACCGGGGGCACGGGGCACTGGAGCACCAGGGTGGACGGGGTGAGGCCCCGGCATGATGTCCTCAAGCGGGTGAGCATCCACCCTGCCCACCCAGCACCATCTCCCCAGTGCCCGTGGGACCCATCAATGGTGTGGGGGACACCTGCTTGGGACCATGCTCCCATCTCCTCTTGTTGCTGACATGGAATTTAGAGCTGGGCCTGGACCAGCTGAGGGGTGAAACCAGACCTGACCTGCATCCCTGCCCCAGCGCCGCGGGTGGAGACCCTGGTTGATGCAAGGGAGAGGAGAGGATGCTCTGTGCTCTCTGCACACCCAGACAAGGGGGTAGCACCCAGCTCACACCCCAGCCTAAAGGGGACAGGCAGGTCCCTTTCCCCAGAACCACCAGGAGGGGAAACTGGAGATGGGACTGATGGAAGAGAAACCCCAGGGAACAGGAGAAAGTCTGGATCCAGAGTACGGAGAAGTGAGAACCGGAGCAACACACCATGAGTGAGCTACAGGAATGATGGGGCTGAGGGTACCGCAGCCTGAACACCACCCTGCCCTCGCTGCGGAGGATGAGGCTCCTCTCCTAGGCACTGCCCATCTGCAAGGCAGAGGCTGGAGCCAGTTCCTTCTCCCTCTGAATTATTAATGGAGCCCCTTTCCTCCAGCACAGCAGATCTGCGTTAACTCCTCCAGCAGCCAATGGCACAGCGGGCACATGAAGCCCCTGTCCTGCCCGTGCCAGCACGCTGCCGGCTGCTGCTTCCCAGCCACCGTGGTCTGAGGAGCAGCCCCAGAGCTGCTGAGCAGAACCTCAGCAGGGAGCATCACACAGTCGGCACTTAGCAGGCGATTACATGGGCAGCGAAGCACAAGGCAGAGGAGGAGGCAGGAATCTCCCAGCCTGCAAAGATTTGTCCCTCTCACCCCAGCCAGGAGCAGGGAGGGGGGGGTCTCGGTACCTGGGATGCTGCTCCCATGGGATGTGCTGTGGGTGGCCCTGCCTTGGCGAGCAGCAGGTCACAGTTAGCACCAAGCTGAGGCCCCCACTTCTCACCACGAGCAATGGGGCCGGTTGGTAAAGCCGTGCTGCAGACACCTTGCACCCGGCCCCCGGCATCCCACAGGATTTGGTGGAGGATGCAGGCATGTGAGGCCCCTTGGGGCCGGCTGGGAAAGAAACTTTCTGGGAACACATCACCTGCTTGGAATTAACTCATAAGCCTGGGCAAACGCCCCGTCCCGCTGCCGGCAGCGCGTAAGCAGCTTAGGGAGAGGGTCAGATGCCTGAAGGCAGCGGTGCCAGCAGTGCCAGGCTTCCCACCCACCAAGGGAGGTCAAGAACCCAGGAGCAGCACCAGGGAACATGGGGATGGTGCAGAGATGGTGGGGCAGGAGCCAGCAGCAGCCTCGCTGCCTCCCCGCTCCCCTGCGCCAGCATCCCATGGGATGCAGGGAGCAGATGCTGTTGTTGCTGAGCCGGTGCATCAGCTCTCCCCAATTAAACTTCCCAGCTCCCAGCAGCCCCCTCCCCGAGGGGCTCCCATGACCATCCAGACACCTTCCCACTGGCACATGTCCCATACAGGAGGGGACACGGGGATGGGATCCCTCTGGTTGCTCTCACCCCAGCGGGAGCGGAGCCTGGCTGCAGGAACATTCCTCCCCAAAATAATTAAAACCCGATGGGGGGCCTGGCTTGGAGCGGGTGAATCTCCTCCCATTAATCTTCATTACAATGGACTTTGCCATATGCTGCTGCCCACCCGGCGGCGCGGTGCCAATGGAGCTCCAGGTGAGCTGGGAAAGCTGCTGAGCACAGGGAAGTGGGGCCGGGTCAGCCCTGGCCAGCGAGGAGCAGAGCTGGGCATGGGGGCAGCAACCAGCACCCAGTGCCCACCCAAACACCCCCGGGCTGCAGCCTGGGAGAAGCTGTGCCACCGCACCCGGGTGAGTGAGGGGACCGTGATGCTCAGAGCCCATGCAGTGGGATGGGATGGGATGGCACAGGGCAGCCCAGCTGCAGCCCCAGCCCCAGCAAGAAGCCGGTGTCCAGGCTTGGAACAGCGGTGACAATGGGCACCCACCCAGACCCCGCTTCACTCTCGTCCTGCGCAGGCAGCATCAGGGAGGCTCACAGTGAGCCCAGCGATAACTCAGCAGAAGGAAAACACCACGTGCTGCAGGATAAACGGCTCAGCCAGGGGATGAGCGAGCCGCAGCCTCCTCCCAACGGCCCAGCTCCCTTCTCTGCCAAACCTGGCCCCATCCCGGTGCTGGCAGCAGCGCTGGGTGCCCCCCCCCCCGGGCTGTGCCACTGTGGGAACCCCGGAATCCCCCTGGTTTGGGTTGGAAGGGACCTTAAAGCTCATCCAGATCCAGCCCCCTGCCACGGGCAGGGACCCCTTCCACTGGAGCAGCTTGCTCCAAGCCCCTGTGTCCAACCTGGCCTTGAGCACTGCCAGGGATGGGGCAGCCACAGCTTCTCTAGGCACCCTGTGCCAGCGCCTCAGCACCCTCACAGGGAAGAGCTTCTTCCCAGTGTCTAATCTAAATCTCCTCTCTCACAGTTTAAAGCCATCAACCCTGGTCCTCCCCATACATCCCTTGTCCAAAGCCCCTCTCCAGGTTTCTTCTGGCTGTTTGGACCAACACTGGCCCAGCCCAGCTGCAGTGGGATGGGGATGAGGATGCAGATGGTGCTTTGCTCTCCAGCTTCCCCAGCCCAGAGGCTCAGCTCCCCGAGCACCGTCTGCGGCTGCATAAACACAGTTTACAGATCCCCATCCCTCTGCGCAGCAGCCCATGGGCAGAGGTGGAGCAGGCAGCCTGTCTGCCCATGGGATATAAATAACCGGGTGTACCGGGCCTGTTTGCGCCCGTAACCATGGCACAGGGTCCGTCCCGCACTGCAGAGCAGCAGCAAAGCAGCGAGCCCTTCCCCACGGTCAGGGAAACCGGAGCTGGAGCCAGGAGCCAGCCCAGCACCGCCATGGCACCGGCACTGCCAACCCCAGCACATGCTCAGAGCCGGGTCCATGACCTGGTTATTGTCAATGGCAGAAGGAACGTGCTGCTCCGAGTGCTCTCCTCACCCCGGAGCCAGGGGTGCAGCAGGACAGTGCCTCCAGCACCCTGATGCAGACTAAAAGCAGGGCTGGGATGAGGAGCAGGCTGCAAACCTCCTCCTGCAGCCCAGCAGCACCCACAGCAGCAGCTCCAGGCGACATCCCAAGGCACGCAGCAACCAACGGCTCCAACATCCTTGTGCTTTGGCAAGCAGGAGCCAAAGCCTGCAGTCAGCATCACCCATCGCCCTCGCACTGCACAAGTCTGCACCCCCCTGTGACTCCCATCGCCCCTCTTCACTGTCCCCATGGGGAGCTCGGTCACAAGGCTCCTGCGCACGCTGCCAAGATGCTCACACGGAGCGGCCGAGATAGTTTTGCTCTTGAATCATCTGGCAAGGAGCTGGCTTAAGGAGGGGGAAAGGAACCCAGCACATTCTCAGCTGGACCTTCAGTGCGTGGTGGGCTTTGAGCCCCGGGAGCGGAATTGGGGCTGTCCCCAGCTCCAGCACCCAGGGACTCTGCAGGGAACGGGGAGTTTTGGGATACAGGGACATGAAGAGCCCCAAGGAGCAGAGGCAGGCTGAGATCCCAAGTGCATTGCACAAAGGGCAGAAGCACCCACAGGCAGACAGAGGGTCAGGCAGGCACTAGCTCAGCCCCACTCAGGGTCAGGCAGGCCCTAGCTCAGCCCCACTCCAACCTTCATCCACAGGGTGTGCTGCTGAGCATCACCTCTGCACCCCGCAGCAGTGGGGCATCCCCCATCCTCAGGTACCCAGACTGGCACCTCCTGCTCCGGGCCGAGGAGCAGCAAGAGCGGAAAGGGGGGAAAAAGGAAGAAAAAAAAAATCAATGCCCAGTTTCATATTGCGCCAAAGTCGCTTAATTTTATGCCCTGGTGGCACCGCAGCCGGCTGGGAAGTGCTGCGCCGGCTTCTCCTCCCCCTGGCGTGTCCCCCAGACGCAGCTCCCGTTTCAAGCCGGGAAGGTGAGCAGAGCCAGCCCCGCGAGCAGGACCCCCTGTTCAGGGCACAGCCTCCCCAACCCCTTTTCTCTGGGCCATACAAGAGTAGCAGCATGGCAGGAGGCCACCAACCACACCAGCCCCTGCTGGAGATGCAGTGGTGGCAAGTTACAGCCCAGAGCAAGGCGTGAAGCGATTTCCCTGCAAACCCTCTGGGCCACGGAACAGCCGCGGATGGGTTGGCAAAGGGTTGGGATGGAGCTGATGCAGGCAGTGACCATGGCAGCAATGCCCAGCTTAGCAGGGAAAGCGCCCTCTCACTGCCCAGGTGGTGATGGAGGGATGCGGCGAGATGAGGGGAGCACAGCACCACAGCCCTCCTCCCTGCAGCAGGGACAACGGACCCCTCCTGCACACCACAGCCCTCACCGGGACCACAGTAGGACCAGAGCACCGGGAAGCTCAGGGACAGCCCTGCTGTCAGCAGCCTGGTCCCTGGCCAGTGCATGGGGGGACCTGCCAACTGCTGCCCTGCGCCCATCAGCACCCTCTGTCCCTGCCAGCTGGGATCCCCATGGCTCCGAGTGAGGAGAGCCCAGTGCTGCTGCCTGGCATTGCTCAACCCGTGCCAGGGCTGCCCCAGGGCTCCACTCCCAAAACACACCCGGGGACCTCACAGCACCAAATGCAAGAGCAAGGGTGCCACAAGCACCCCCCAGGCTCTGTGCTCTCATCTTCTCCCTGCCCCGGGTACAGGGTGACGCTTCCACAAAGGCAATGACACCAAATGAACCCAGCGGCCCCCAGTGAGGTCACGGTGGCAGGCAGGGGCTTGCGGGTTGTTCCCGGTGCTGCCAGCTCCGTGTTCCCCAGTTCGCTCCAGGTCAAACTGCTCTTCATTAAAGCGTTCCTCTAGGAACAGGGGCAGCGCTGAGCTGCGCTTCTGGGGCACCCAGCAGTTTCATAACCATGGACACCAGCTCCCAGACCCTGGCTGCCATGAGGCAGCCCCATGGGGACCATGCTGGGGGGGTGGCAGATGGCCCCAGAGAGCCCGGCTGCAGGGAGAAGCCTCAAAGTGCAGCAGGAGCAGCTTGAACTGAAACCTGTGCAGTGCAACCCCTGCTGCGGGGCAGCCCACTGCCGGGCAGCACCAGGCCGGGCTGGCAGCGCTGCCTGTGCCAAGGGCAGAAGCCTGCAGCGGGTCCCCAACAGCTCCATGCACAGCACGAAGCAGGAGCTGGGCACGAGAACAGCCCTTCCCTTGGCTTAAAGGGATTGGGAAAAGAAGTTTCCATTTTGCCTTCTGGCTCTAAAGCCTTTAGGTTAATGCACTGGTCACGCTCCTGCATTCGCTCTGCAAGCTCCAGGGCTGGAAACTCTGATTGCAAGAGGACAAGGCACAGCTGTGAGAGCCCAAGTGTCTGCCTCCATGGTCGGCACGGGGTTAGAGGGGATGGGGCTGCCCAGTCAGCACCACACACCTCAGCCATGGGTCGGCCCCCGCACGGGCACCCACATTCACATCATCCCCTTCCTACAAAGGCTGGGAACGCACAGGAATGCCCCGCATGGGACCCTGAGGGGCTGCAGAGCCCCAGCAGCAGCTCTGAGCCCATCAGGCCAGAGCCCACCACAGCTCAGGGGCTGCAGACACCGTGAAGCCACCAAAACACCCTGCATCAGCCCAGCCCCAAGTGCTGGGCACAGGAAGCTGTTCGGGATCAATTCTCCATTCAAGAGAGACTGGATTTGTCCTTTAAACGGTACCAGCTCACCCCTGCCCCTGCCGTTGAAGTGCCCCGGGGAGGGAAGCGCGCTGCTCCTCAGCAACGTTTCCATCCTAACAGCCCCATGGAGCCAGGCAGCGCTCAGACGATGCTCAAGGATGGGTGCTGTGAGCAGCGTGGCCCTGAGCTCGGGCTCCATCTCCCCCGTGCCTCGGTCTCACCGCACATAGGGGTAACACCGCCCTCCTCTCCCTGGCACCCAGTGCGCACGTCCTGAGGCACCCCAGTTCCTGGGAACTCCACTGCCCTTCGCTGCTGCGCACAGGGGAAACGGCTACTTTGGAGAGGCAGAAATGAGCCACGCTACAGCAAACGGCTTCACGGAACAGTCGCCCACATCTTGCACCCACTGCGTCACCTTCCCGGCTGTGAACCCAGCGAGTGACGCAACCCCACATCCTCCGAGTGCTCCACAGGCTTTGCTCCTGCCGCAGACCGGGCACCTCTTGCCCACACAGAGCAATGACCGTCTCCTACAGCCTGGCGCTGGAGGGACCTGGGGCTCGGTGATGGGAGCAGATAGGTCCGATGTGGCTGTTCCTGGGGCAAAACATGCACAGGTTGGGAGGAGGAAGTGGTGGAGGACGCTGGGACACACGAGTTTCAGCTGCGAGATGAGCAGGGCATCTCTCCTCCAGCACCTACACCAAAGTCTGGTCCCCCTCCTGCAGCGGGAGGTTTTCGCTGCCACCGTTAATTCCCTGCAGGAAAAGCTCATTTGAGGGCAGGATTTGCAGCGTAGGGATTCTTGTGGAAGCTCAGGGCAGGCGTTACAAATGGCCCCCGGGCTCCTCTCCCGCTCCCCGGGGAGCTGAGGTGCCCTCTCAGCCGGTGACTAATTCATCCTGCCACCCCGATGTGCTCACCTCGGCAGGAGCCGCTCTGCTGCCTCCTAATGAGCTCCCGCACGCCGGTAAGGGCCCAGCTCCGAGGGGAGGGCAGGAGGCAGGCTTGGCTCACGGTGCCACAGGGGTCTGCGCACGCCAAGCACACAGAGGGAACCCGCTTCCCCCGCCATGGCTGCAGGGGTGTCCCGGCAGTGTCCGGTGCAGTCCTGGGCTGGAGCATCCAGAACATCCCCCCCCAGCATGGAGCCTCCCCGCAGCCCTGGTGCGCTGTGGACAGCTCAGCTCCGCATCCCTCTCAAAGCAAACAACCCCAAAGGGCTGAGTACTCAGCCCTGAGCTGTGCCTCTTGGAGAAGCTTCCTTGTAAAACCCACGGGTTGCTCAGGGAGCAGCACCACAAACTGCAGGGAGCCAGGGCAGGGAGCAGATGGGAGCATCCCAAGCTCCATGGCTGGAGAGGGATGGTAAAGTGCAGGGGGCTGACAGCGGCCGTGACCCAGGAATGGGCACAGCTCTTGAGGTACAGCAGCCAGCGGCTGCAGGGACAAGGACACCCCGTTCCCAGCTCCCCCGTCCCACCCGGCCACAGCTCCGGGGGTGCCGGGCTGGCACTTCTGTCCCAGCACTCCAGGTACACAACAGGACGAGGAGCCTCTTCCCACCCGGCTCTATCCGCTCAGCTCTGCCTTTGAGGCTCAGAGAACCCGGCAGCAGCCGAGGGGGCAGCGGGACGTGACCCAGCTCCGCGCCGGTGCCGCCGGGAAGGGGCTCGCTGCACCGGGGACACCAGGTCCCATCCCCCGGGACGCGCTCAGCTCCCCGCAGACGGAGCCGGTGCCACGGATCCACTGGGTCCCCGCTCGCCCTCCCCCCGGGATCCCGCAGCGCGCTGTTCCCATCGCTCTGACCCCGTTACCGGGAGGAGCGGCTGGAACCGGCACCGGCGGCGCTTCCCGGCCACCAAAACACGGAGAAACTTCTCCGGTGGAGCCCGGGAGCCGGAGCCCGGTGCGGGGCTCGCTCGGAGCCACCCCTGCCCGCGGCTCCCCGCGCTCCCTTCCCCTCCCCTCGGGCACCGGCACCAGCAGCGCCCGACCCCGCGTCCCACCGGGACCGGGAGTCCCGGGACGCCGCTGCCCGCCGCTCCCCGCTCCCCGGCACTCACATGAAGACGTGGTAGACGAAGGCCCACCCGCGGGGCCGCTCCAGCACGTTGTACAGGCAGTTCTGGAGGCGGCGGCGGCAGCACCGCGGGGACCCGGCGGGGCGGGGGGCGGCCCCGGGGCGCGGCCCCGGCAGCAGCTCCCGGCGGCGGGGCGGGGGGCTCCCTCCGGGCTGCCCGGTGCCCTCGGTGCGCACCGCGGTCAGCGCCAGCACCGCCCGCCGTTCCCCGCCGCCCTCCGCCCCGGCCATGGCGCGGCCCCGCTCAGGGCACCTCCGCCGCCCGCTGCATTCCCCCCCCCGCTGCCGCCGCTCCTCCTTCGAACGCGGCGCGCCCCGGCCCCGCTCCGGGGCCACCTGCCTTTAGCTGCCCGCCGCCGGGCCCTCCCCCGCGGGGCAGGCCCGCCCCGCCGTACCTGGCCCCCGCCCCCGTCTCCAGCGGTGCCCCCGGTGGGAGCTCCGGACCGGGTGCGGGACCCTTCCCCGTGAGGGTCCTGGGGAGCGGGGACTTCTGCTGCCCCCCAGCAGCGGGGACAGCGCCCCGGCCACGGGTGTGGGGCACCCCGGGGGTGAGCATCCTGTGAGTGAGTATCCCAAGCCATGGGGCATGGAGCAAGCATCCCAAATCAGGGGGTGTGGAGCACTTCGGGAATGAGCATCCCAAACCAGGGGGTGTGGAGCACTTCGGGAATGAGCATCCCAAACCAGGGGGTGTGGAGCACTTCGGGAATGAGCATCCCAAACCAGGCGGTGTGGAGCACTTCGGGAATGAGCATCCCAAACCAGGGGGTGTGGAGCACTTCGGGAATGAGCATCCCAAACCAGGCGGTGTGGAGCACTTCGGGAATGAGCATCCCAAACCAGGGGGTGTGGAGCACCCTGGGATTCAGCTTCCCAAACCCCATGGCATCAGAGATCTCTGCTTGGAGCATCCCAGGCACAAGCTCCCTGGGGCAGCTGGCACCGACGCCCCCCCCCGGTGCTGCTTGACACAGAGTACCCCAGCCCATGCCACCCCTTTCCTCTCCTTTGCTCGGGGCCCAGGAATTGCTGGGCACACTGAGGTTTAGAGGGACACCAAGTACCTACAGGTGTGTTTCCCATCTGTTTTCCCATCTGCCTGATGCCCCTCCACACAGCCCCATTAACCACTGGGGAAACTGAGGCAGGCACTGGGAGTCCCTTTCCCAAGCAATCCAGGGGCAGAGCTGCCCCGTCCCTGCTGTCCCCGTGCACCCTCTGCACCTTTGCAGCAGCGGGGTCCCGCCACCCCCGCCGGGCTCAGAGCAGAGCAACCTAAAGCCTTTGGTTGGTGAATTATTTAACATGGTGTTGGAGATCCTGGCACGGGCCCTCTGAGCACTGCGGTCTTGGGGAGCTCTGGGGAAACGCACCATAAAGAGGCTGTTTTAATAGACAACAAACAGCAAATGTTATTTACTGGTGCACAAGGACTGGTGCTGGTGAAGCTCACCCCAGGAACCAGCCCGCATCCCCTCCCAGGATGCTGCCCCATCCTGCTGCCACTCGGCCCCCACTGCAGCGAGAGCCATGTCCATGGAGGCTGAGATCCTGTGAATCCAGCCCCAGTTCTCCCCAGGGAAGCTGCGGGGTCTCCTCTGTGCTCCCCTCCTGCCCTCACCCCCTCTGCTGGGAACGCAGCTCCTGGACCATGGCCCTGGCTGCGCTCAGGGTGCCCCTGGAACGCCTCAGCCCCGGCAGTGGGAGCACCTTGACCTTCACCGGCTGCCTTCGGTTCAGCGTACGCCCAAGGTTTAGGTTTCACCTGGTGATTGATTAAAGCCTCCGGGCTGCGGCGGGGGCAGAGGGAAGGTGACCTGGAAAGGACTGCGGCCAAGGTGGGCCCTTGCTGAAGAAGAGCCGGGGCGGTTGCGGAGTTGTTTCGTTGCTGCTGTGCTCCAGCGCTGGATGGGGAACATCCAGGCTGGTGTCCCAGGGAGGCACCGGCGGAGCTGTCTGTGGCCGAGGAGCTGCTGAACGATTCCGTTTTAAACAAAGACGTCACTTCTCTAAACTGTGCTGGAATCCGAGGGCTGCTCATGAGTTAGGGGAGAGGGCTCGTCACCACCAGCCGCCCTCCCCGCTGCGCCCGCTCTGGGGCCATGGGGTTGGGGGTCCCCACATTAACGCCCATCCATGCCTCACAACCCTGGGAACCACGATCCATCCTGCGGCTGGGAGGGTTTGGGATGGAGCCAGGGAGCCTGAATCCGCACGGTGCTGACCCCTCCGTCAGAACCGGTGGAGGTTTTGGGAAGCGACCCCGGGGTCCCGCAGAGCATCCTTCCCATGCGGAGCTAAAGAGGATTCCCGAGGCCGGGCGACGGCGAGCGGGGAGGCGGCGTGCTCGGAGCCTGCTGCCCTCTCGGGATTGCAGCTCCGGTTCCTGGCACGGGCGGGAGGCCGGGATTTGCATCCACAGGATTTCCAGTAAGTTTTGCAGTCCTGGTATGCGGCTGCAGGGCCGCGGGCTGGGAGCGGGGCAGGAGGGACCGGGGCGAGCCCAGCACCGGAGCAAAGCCTCAGCCTGGCGCCCTGGGCATGGGGGGGCACTGGGGGTGGCATCGCGGTGGGGAGGATGCGGGCAGCCCCCTCCGCGCCAGGGAGATGGGTTCGGCCCTTGGCGGCCGGGACAGGGAGGGACGGACGAGGCCTCAGGGGACCCGGTGCTGGCGGTGCCCCAGGAGCCCCGGGGACAGCAGCAGCGGTGGCGGCGGCACGGGGAGGCTGCAGAGCACCTGCTTGTGCTGGGGCTTGGCCCCGACCCAGCGCGATGAGCTCCTGGCTCCCTGCTCGCACGGGCTCCGACGAGCAAGAGGCTGCGGCGCTCCGAGGGCTCCATCCCGCCCGGGGAACCCTGGGGAGCAGCGGGGCTGCTCGGCCCCGGGGCTGCAGCGGGGCCCTGTCGGCTCTCGCCTGCGCTGACCCCGCGCTCGGAGCGGAGCCAGCACGGCCGGGAGCTGGGGCAGGGCCCAGCGCGGCCCCGCGGGAGGAACCGGGACGCTTCCGCCGCAGCGCTGCCTGCAGGGGATGGGTCAGGGCCTCAGCTCCGCTCCCCAGCTCGAAAGGCGAGGAAGGAAGCGGGGATGAGGGCTTCAAGAGAGCTCTGCACCCCTGGCTCTGCGGCCGCGGCTCGGCAGCTCCGGCGCAGTTCACACCCAGGTTCCTCCCGGGAAGATGCAGGAAATTCCCGCAGCAGGGAAGCTCCAGCGCTGCTCCCCAGGGGGACGCTTCCTGCTGCAGGTGGGAGCCCAGAGCCTGCACCGGGAGAGGCTGCGAGAGGGCAGCTTCACCCCAGCGCCTGGGCGACGGTTGGCCAAGCACCAAACCCCATCAGTACCAAACCCCATCAGCACCAAGCCCCATCAGTACCAAACCCCACCAGTACCAAATCCCACCAGCACCAAACCCCATCAGTACCAAGCCCCATCAGTACCGAACCCCAACAGCACCAAACCCCATCAGCACCAAGCCCCATCAGTACCAAACCGCATCAGCACCAAACCCCATCAGTACCAAACCCCATCAGTACCAAACCCCACCAGTACCAAACCCCACCAGCACCAAACCCCATCAGTACCGAACCCCATCAGCACCAAACCCCATCAGTACCAAACCCCATCAGTACCAAATCCCATCAGTACCGAACCCCATCAGTACCGAACCCCATCAGCACCGAACCCCATCAGCACCGAACCCCATCAGCACCGAACCCCATCAGTACCGAACCCCATCAGCACCAAACCCCATCAGTACCGAACCCCATCAGTACCAAACCCCATCAGCACCAAACCCCATCAGCACCAAACCCCGCCAGTGCCAACCTCAGCCGTGCGGCTTGTGCTGAGCTCATCAGCCCTGAGGAGAAACGGAAACCCAAACCGCTGCTTCCTCATCATCTTGCACCCCCCCCTGGCTCCCTGGAGGCGTCTGGGCTCTGCCACCTCCACCCACCAGCACCCCTGCAGAGGGTCCCACATGTCCCCCAGCCCTCGGGAACGCGCCCGTCCTCCTCCATTACCCCCCATCACCCCATTTGCCATGGGAAGATACCCGAAGTCCTCATGCAGGAGACCTGGCTCCCGTTAGCACCCGAGGGTCACCGAGCTGGGACGGACAAACGAGGTCAGCTCCCTCCAAAACACGCTGCTCCCTCCCCCTGAAATACTCGTTCAAGCAGGCGAGGGCACCCTGCAGCCTCACAGAGCCTCGCTGTTAGCCAAACATTAACACAACCGGCATTAACTGCCCATTAAATTCCCACACTCCAGGGTGGGATCTGTCTGCGAGCATCGAGGCGACACCGAGCGGGTCAGAAGCAGCGTCCCCGCCAGCTAGAGACAGAAATTGTCATGGGAAGCCCCTCTGCTTCCAGGCGCAGCGCCTCACCCCCGTTTTCCGCCCTTCAAGCGGTTTGTTCCTATTGAAACGAGAACCGTTCCCGTTCCAACCAACCCCCGGCGCAGCGCTCACGGGTGCCCTCTCGCGGCCGGTCCCGAGCACGGAGCTTTCACGCGAGGTGCATTTTCCCCTTCCAAGTTCATCTTCTCCATGCACAGGAGATGCTCCTCCAGAGCCCTGGGAAGGCGCCGGGCTGCATCACCCCGCTGCTGGCTCGCAGGCACTGCAGGGCCAGGGAAAACACTTAAAACCAAGTAAATGAACACTTACAAAGGCCAGGGGGTGCAGCCCGGGCAGCAAGGTCCCAGGGCCGACTGGAGGAGCCAGGTCCAGATGAGCCGTTCCCATCAGCGAAGGGCTGGAGAGGAGTTTTCCTTCCTCAAGCAGGACAAGGGGCACCCAGGGTCCCTGGGCACTGCCAGGGAGAGCAGACACAGATGGGCCAAGGCTTCTCCTCGCTGTGAACCGCAGCACACTGAGTGCTGCTGGCAGTGAGCTGCAGGAGCCAGCGCTGGCATCGGCCCTGGCAGGCGCCACACGAAGCCGCTCCTGGACCAAGTGCCAACTGTGTCACAGCGTGAGGCTCTCAGTTAGACTCACAGCTAAGACCTGAGTGAGACTCAGTGACCCAGCACCACCGGGGTACTTGCAGTGTGTTCAGTTAAACCTGCCCCAAACCCCTTCCCTGCTGCTGGATGAGCAGGGAAGCTGCAGGGAGAGGCCGTGCAGCCACAGCACCCGCAGCTGAAGGCCTGCACTCAGACACTGATCAGTGCATGGAGCTCCCCTTGCTGTGGGAGGCAGCCACAGAACAGCCACCTCCCCGTTTG